TGACCCAATTTTAAAATTGGTCGGGTTCGGGTCTATAAATCTGGCCAGTTTCAAGTTTTAGGTCAGGTTCGGGTTGACCCGAATTATGACGTGTTGGTTTAGAAATTTTTGTACCACAAAACTGATTTAGAAAGTAATAAGAAAGTTGTCCCAAATGAAGTCTTAAATAAATACTCTGCAATTAAAAGTCGGATATTTTGATCTAAAATAAGCTTTCAAATGTATTTTCCTTAATATATATATATAGAGAGAGAGAGAGAGAGAGAGAGAGAGAGAGAGAGAGAGAGAGAGTTGCTATTATCCTTTTAGAAAGAGAGAAAGAGAGAGCCCAACATCTTCCCTACCTTTTTGAATTAAATCTCAAACTCACACACACCATAGATACAAGCCTCAAAACTGAGACCTCTTAGTTGGCAGTCTAAGTTATCAGCCAACAAGCTAAGATGCCACTACTAGAAAAACCAGTTTTTGTTGTAGCAATTCATAGTGGTAGTTTAAAATATCATCTCTTGAGGAAAAAAATATCTGACCTATTGAGAGCTTAGTTTAATTATGATGCAACTACATAATAATTTAAATAATATACATAAGAGTCACAAAATAAGGATGCACAAAATTTTTATGATTTGTCGCATGTTACCCAATAACTAATTTGGAAGGAGTGCATCACTCACTCAAAGTTATTTATTGTTGTGAAGATATTAAACATCAAGACATAATATAATGTCCACCGTGAATATTTTAATCAATTCATTGTACAGTTTACGGAAACCAACCTGACAGATAATATAATTTATATAGATTTATATCAGACTAAGAGTCCAAACTTGGGTTTACATATATAAAAGTAGATTGTTGTGTCAATTTATTATACTATAAAGATGATTTATCAGAGTTGTTATTGAGTTACATAGTTATACCCACAAGTGGAGCAGATGAATATGTTTAGTAAGAAATTTAAAAAAAATTTAATAATTTTCTTAGTTATGAATACTAATATAAGTGTATTACAGATAGTTGTTATTGGGTAGGGAGTCGACTGTTGTTGAGTTATATAGTCATACTCATAAGCGATAGGAGAAATAACAATGGGTTAATGAACAAGCAAAGAAACCCTACATGATTATATAAGTTTAAAATTTTAAGTTTCATGTGTAAATTGATTAATCTTATGTTAACTTTTATAAGAAGAGTATATACAACTTCAAGAGAGCCAGGTTGAAGTAAGTGAGGGATCTTATAGGGGATCAACATACTATTCTGACTACCGCACTTGGTCATAAGCAATTGATGGAATACAGAAAGGCTAGGTTTATAGTTTATTCTTGTTAGTCTATGCATACGAGGGGCATACATCTGATGACTCCAACTTCTCAACAAGCAGCCTTGAGTCATTGTTCCAGCATTTCTCAATTGAAAATACAAAATTTTCGACGGAATTCCTCATTTTTTGGTGGATTTAAGCTGCCGAAAATACAAGTTTTTCCTGTAGTGCGAGCTTTTAGGGGTACGAGAAGAAAGATTTATGGTCTTCCTATAAATTTTCTATCTCTATAAAACCTAAAATATTCAAACATCGTATATCAAGATATGCCCATATTTCATTTTCAATACTCCTAATTATTCCAGCATTTCACTATCGAGACTATATACCACACTAGATTTTAACTACATATATGATCATTGCATGTATTAAATGAAGAATGAGAGATATTAAAAATATCAAAACTTTCATTAAAACACAATATTCTATATTAGTACATATTATGTTTATTATATTATTAAACCTAAACTAGAGAATTAGCCAAATATGAAGGAAATAATAAGCAAACTCTATTATCAATTTATTCAATGAAGAGATGCAAAATAAGTAATAAGAAAATTATTACTAGGAAGGATCAAAAGATCTTTTCCACTTTTCTTCCATCAATCACATAGTTGCTTACACAGATAGGCTATAGCTAATATCTCCATAAAATAAAAATATCTTACACTTTCCTAGCCTCCATTAGATTTTACTCATCTAAGGGGTCGTGTACTAAAGAAACATACTTACACATATAGGATTTCACTCCAGTGACATAACTCTCTAATAAAAGAACTAAAAAATTATTTATAGTAATCACATGAACGAGCTTAAGCACCGCAGTGCTCGATAGGGTGGCATCACGATAGAGAAAAATGAATTAGTGCATTGGCTCTATAAAGTCTACTCTGCTACGATGCTAACTGATGTGGCATGGTTATTGATTGAAACAATGCATCTTTTTATTGAGTCGACATGGCTCCTTGCATTGGTAACTGCTCAATATTGTTGCTACTAAACCCTAAATGCTGCGGTGCTTAAATTGAGAATATGGCCCTGAGGCGTTGAAAGGCATAACATTGCGACATTTATTTTCACAAGGCACTCAGTGTTATAGTGTTGAAGTATGGCGCAACAACACTGTAACACCGCAACTCTTATTATGGTTTCGTTGCGACATTTAAAAATAGAGAAGACTAGCACTGCAACGTTGGAAACTAGTGCTGCAATGTCAAAAACTAGCGCCTCAGCGTTATTGAACTCGATGCAGCGACGTAATATGCTTGGTGCCGCTGTGCTACTTCAAACTTAACTAAAATAATGCATTTTTTTTTTTAAATTCAAACACATAAACAATATACAATTTATATTTAACAAGGATGTTGGGCCAAATTGGCTATGTGATATAAGGTTTAATAACTTAGAATGATAGATCAATGGAATCTTAATTAAGTTATTTCTACCTTTTATATATTTCATACCAATAAATGTCACCTCTATTAAGTCTTTCACTACAGTTGACTTTTTGGAAATTTAATGATTGTCATTGCATAATATCATCAATATAGTGATATAATCATCTCACTAGGTTATGGGCATTCATCCTCTTCCCTGTTACTTTACTTGTCATAAAGAATTAATTATCCTACTTAATTCAATGATAATCCTTGAAGTATAGTATATCCTTTGATGTTAACTTAAAAAATTAAAATAAAAGCATATTTCTTTTATTTGAAGTATCTCTTCAAGATGTCCTCAAGTATAATTATATTTAAAAAATTAATTTATTTTAGCAGACTGATTAACCCTTTAATTTTGACTTGACTTATCAATCGCAAGATATTGTAAAAGTTAAAGCCAGATGATGATCCCTAGTGATTTAGCTATATGGATGCTAATTGTAAGTTCAAATGTAAAATATTCTAAAAAGAGGAGAGTACTAAAATAATATTTAGAGAAAATCATTCTTATGTTTTTATTTATGATAAAAATTAAAAGTAAAGAGTTAACCAAAGACTTAGAGGTGTGATCATTTACATAAAAGAAACAAAAAAGTTACAAATCCAAATATGATTACATCATATATTCTCAAATCGCTTTGGGCACGATCCACATTAATTACCATGCATCTTACCTCCTGATAAAAAGGACTATGGTGTGTTTAATCAAATTAAAAGGACCGGAGCCAATTGGAATAGCTGCAAACATACTTTTTCATGATGAATCCTAGAGAAATACATTCTAATATTACTCCAAATATGAGTCCAATTAAATGATGGCTAAGTTGTGCACCCATAGGCTCAAATCCCAAATTTCTAAATCCTAATTTCAAATTTTGCCAAACTTACTATTTTTTATCTTATCTTTGAATGTGATAACATGTTAACAAGTTTTCTTCAAGCTAATCCTTGATGACCTAACCATCTAAATGGGTGGGATATTTCCGTTCAGAAGCTCCCATATAAGGCATCCTTAAAATTCTCATAGATATCCCTACCTTATTATTCTTCATTCTTCTTTTTTGATAATATATTAATTCTATGTACATCAACGTCTCTTGGCTCACCGACCAAAGATTAGCTAACATCTTTTGCTTTGTACACCAAAACAATTATGCATATAGTGGGCATATATGGACTATCCTTCCTCCTACACCACCTCAACCCGAATCTCCAAAGGAATTAATGGTAGAATCAATGGCAAGGAATTTTAACATGTCCTCCTTATCCTTCCCCACCTTTTTTCAACCATAATATGAATGAGTGAGTTAGTGGTAAGGACCTCATCACCATCTCCATTTTTTCTCACTCATATATGACATAATCGACACCTTTATTTTCATTTATCACTCTTCGTAAAACTCTAGATGCTAAATTTTGCTCTAAGTTTAACTAATTAATCTCTAATTTGAGTCGGTTGTTCATAAGCTTCCTTATAATACAAAAAGGATGCTTCAATTAATTAGAGGAATGTATGGACTGACTAGCAAATAATTGTTCTTCATCTCTTTCTTGAGTCAAGGATTTTAACTTATATTTTTACTAATGTAGGAATATTTTGATCTAAAATGAACATTTATCATAAAAATATTTCTTCAAATAATGGACTATATAAAGTAAAAATTTCCTTCAAATGATAACAATTATTTATCATTTCAAGTTTCTATAAATGGTGCTTGTTCTTAAGTGGGTTACTTTATGCTTATTTACTTGGACAATGGAATGAAATTCCCTGCCTCATAATTTTTTCTTTAATTTTATGCATAAAAATATTATTAAAAATAAAGTTAAATTTTAAGCATACCGTAATTTAATTGTTAAAAAATTAATCAACCGTTTGACACACAAATAATAATAATAATAATAAAACCTTATGCAAGGGTCCACTAGCCATCTATCCCTTTCACTTAAGCCTCACACTACCGTAAAGACTTTTATATCCTGGAAGAAAGGAAAGAGAAAGAGGGGTGATGGAAACTAGACAGATAGCACTCCTTTGACTTCTTTTTTATCACTCACACGCACCTTCTCTCTCTCTCTCTCTCTGGTTCCCTGCCTCTGAAGTCCTTACCATTGTCATATATACATATATATATTTATATCCCATGGCATTCCGTGCTTCTTCCTCCTTGGAGGCGTCATATAATCCTTCGTTTCTCTTCTTTTTTTTTGGATTTCAATTGTAAGTGAAAAGGATGGGAAGGGCTCCTTGCTGTGATAAGGCAAACGTGAAGAAAGGCCCTTGGTCTGCTGAAGAGGACTCCAAACTCAAGGGCTTCATTGAGAAGTATGGCACCGGTGGCAATTGGATTGCTCTTCCTCACAAAGCTGGTACTCTTCTTCTTCTTCTTTCACTCCTCCTCCTCATTATTTCTTCTTCTTTCTTTCTCTTTCACTTACTCACATAACTTGTGGGCATTAATTAGGGTTGAAGAGGTGTGGAAAGAGCTGCAGGCTGAGATGGCTTAACTATCTTAGGCCCAACATCAAGCATGGGGAGTTTTCTGATGCTGAAGATAGGACTATTTGCACTCTCTTTGCTAGCATTGGGAGTAGGTGAGTTCCAACTACTTTGAAAAAATAAACTTAGATGAGTGTATTTTGAGCTAAGTTTTTCTTGGATGCAAAACATTTATTCTTTAAAATAATAAAAAAAAAACAATATATTATCATCAAATCGTAAAATTTCGCTTATCTGTTTAGCAATTCAACAACATAAATATTTATAGATGGTTATTTTTTTCAGTACTAAAATTGCCTTACAAAAATATAAATCATGGCCTTCAAGAATAAGTCTTATTTACTTTGAACTAAATTTATCCAAAGATCACATTTTTCTATTATTTTCACATCTGAAAATCAAAGCACAAACTTCTCTGTCTGTGGAGAGTGATCAAAATCCACAACTTTTTATCCTTTATTAGCAAAATCTTGCATGTTTGGAGAGAAGAATCCTCTTAGATTTACTCACAGCATGCAACCATAACCACTTAGTGTAGTTTGTTCTCGTTCTCACTTTCCTCAACTTTATTTTCCCCCAAGAAAAAAGAAACTTTCCATAACTTTTGTACCTCCTTGCTTGTCTATTAAAAGAAAAGATTTCCTTTTTCTTAAAAAATTAAAAAAAAAATTTCAGGTGGTCCATCATAGCTTCTCAGCTGCCAGGGAGGACAGACAATGATATCAAGAACTACTGGAACACCAAACTCAAGAAGAAACTCCTTGGCATCTCTTCTTCCCCAAAGAAAAGTTCAATTCATCATCAAGAGCAGCAAAACCAGCAGCTTCTCTTCTCATCACCATCACCATCTTTGTTTTCTAATCCCTACATTAATATAAATGCTACTTCTACTACTCCCTTGCACAAACCCTTCCTTTCTGGCTTCAATCATCAAGCTAATTTGGTCCCAATCTCACCAGAAGCCTTCAGTGGTTCTTCCACTTCTTCTTCCTCCTCTCTCTTCCAAGCTTCTCAGTACCAACTGAAGGAGAGCAGGAGCTCTGCTGTTTTGGTGTTTGGTGGTGATCAAGCTGGAAGCTGCACTCAAATCAGCCAAAATATGAGCTTTGATAATTTTATGCTTTATGGCAGCACAGGGTTTCAGGACTTCAGTGGACTGCAGAGTTCTGCGCCATTAGAGGAGTGCTCAAGCTATGGATTTGACGAGATTAAGCAGATTCTTATGAACAGCAATAATGAGTTTTTCTTGGAGGATCAAACAGTAGGAGGGTGCAAAGCCCAATGGAGGAGTATGGACACTTTTTGAATTCAAATCAAAAGGATGCTTGGGATTGGGAAGGGAGAGATTATTTGGTGAGCATAATTAATGATTTTTAATGATTGTTTAATATTTTTATTTTGTATATTTTGTATTGATATTAGTACAATAACAATACAAAATAATACTGAATAAAAATATTAATACAATATATATATTAAAATTTATGAGTTATGTTCACTTAATAATTTTTCATCTAAGAAGACTAATGAGCAGCAACAAGAATCATTAAAAAAATTTGAGTTATAATCACATTTTATTTAAGAAATAGCTTGATATTTTCTTTTAGTTATGTTTTTTGAAGAATTATGATTAAAAGCAACTTCTTTGTCATTATTTCTAAACTCTTTTAGCTTTTTTTTATAGTTGTGATTATTGTTCATTGCATCTAAAATTTTTAATCATATTATTATTAAAAATATGATTAAATTTTTTAATCAATGTTAACAATAATCACAAATCCTAATATATATACATATTAGCTAAAATTTTGAGAATATGAAAGAAAAGTTGCTTTTGATAACTAAAAATTAATATTCAAGATAGAATTTTTAAATGAAATGTGATTATACATCAAATTTTGATTAATGTATCATTAGAAATCATTTTTCTCTCTTATTCTCTACCTTGTGATTCTCTTCTGTATTTCTCACTTTTTGTATTATGATTTGATGCTCAGTTTCTGTTCATATTTGTATTTTGTGTTCTTTATCTTTGGATTGTACTATTTATCTTTCTCTTCTTTCATCTCATCCACATCAAAGTACAGTCATCAGCGTCCAAAGAAAAAACAAAAGTCTTTTCTCTCGTTGAAAGCAGCAAGCTGCTGCTGTAGTTTTGATCAGATAAAATCGTTTAAAAAATGAAATCAAGAGTACAGATCTTTATAAATTTGGTTTCTTTCATATTTTTTTGTGCAGTACTGGCTTGCTGGAGATTAAAAACAGATTAATTAAAGTATGATTTGTTTTGGGAAAGACGAGAGAGAGATCAGTGCCAGTGGGATCTGCAGCGGAAGAAAAGGGTTGGGTGTCAGATCTGTTTAAGTTAGAAAATGTGGGAGTTTGGAACTGAGATTAGATTCTTAGTGAGGTGGCGAATAATATTAGAGATTCAGAAAAAAAAAATTTTTTTGTTGAGGTCGATCTTTGTTGCGTGGATCTCGGGATGGAACGAGAGGACGGAGGAGAGGTGGCTTGGCCATGGCGGGGCTCTATGTCGATAGGCCTGCGTGAGACCTCAAGGTCTTTTCTTATCAGAATCCACATATTACTGTGCTCCTGTATTTCTCTGTCTTTATTTTAAATATCTGTAATACTTATTGAGCCATAACATTTACATAATTACACAAAAGAACCAATGTGGAAGAGAATGTGCAAGTCGAATTAATCTGATTTGTAATTTAAAGAATTTACTAAAAAAATGATAATTTAAAGGAGAATTACGTATATATCATAAAATATTTATTTATTTGTATATTTAAAAATTAAAATTTTAAGTTATTTATATTATACTTTAATATGTTGATTTTATTAAAACATATGCATGAATTAAACTGTATATTAATTTAAATAAGTTAATATTAGTATTATTTTTAAAAAATAGTGTGATATGAACAAATTTTTATTTTTTTATATTAGCATAGAAATATATAAAAATTTATTTGTCAATTGATATGCATTATTAAATACATCTTATAATTTAATATATCATCCTTCTTTTCACTTAACAATATGAACATAAGGCTTTGTGTCCTCATAGTTAGGGGTTTTGGCTTCCATAATTGAGAAAGATGCCTAAGTGTACTAAATATATTACTAATTTTTAACAATTATAATTAAATTCAAATATCTTAAAAAAATCATGCAAGAGTATAATTAAGATGCCTTAGCTCCTCTACTCCCTCTTGTGCAACTTACTCTTCAATCTATCTCTCTATTTCTTTCCTTCTTCAAGCTCTATTATATGCTCTACTATAGAAGAAGTTATATATAAATTTTCTTTTATCAAAAAATCATGAAAGAAAAAGTAATAGGTTGAAATGAAAATCTAAAAGATTGTGAGCCTCTAAGAACAAATCAGAATTGATTAGAAAATGGCCCTTAATAAAGCCTTAGGAGGGGTTAATTAAAGATATAGTAAGCATCCAAATTTAGGTTTTCATAGGTACAAAAATCATGAAATGAAAACCTAATAAATCAATGAATTTTTATGATTTAAGCCTTTAATTAAGGTAATATCATTTTAAAAGAAATTTTAATCATAAAGTCATATTTATCTTTGTTACACTTAAACTCACTATTATTTTAGCATGTCTTAATGCAATGCCAAGTAATTAAATTTGGAAGAATTCTTTTTTTTTTTTTAATCTTTTTATAATAACAACAATCACTAGAGCTATCTAATTTTTTTTTATCTTTAATATAAAATAACAAGAAAAATAAGTCTATTAATCAAAACATCAATATACATTTGTATTCATACTCTAAAAGTTATATAAAATAGCTTAAATCAGTAGAAGTATCAATAACAATATTAGTATCATCAATAACAGTATCATCAAATTTTTTTTTTTTCGCCCTAGCCGCCTCCCTTGGCGATTTTAGGGTTCCTCGATTTCCTTCCTCGTGCGATCATTTTCTTCTCGATTTATCTTCGATACTCCTCCGTTTTTCGACTCTGGTCTCGTTGGGGTTCCTGGCCTCGTTGAGGCAGGTTGATTGTTGGCGGGGATGACTTCGTCCAATGTTTGGGGGAAGGCGTCCTGCCCGACTGATGGAAAAAGGAAAGGCTTTTTAGAGCTTGATGAATCTGCTTCAAAATCTCTTTCTCGTTCCTTTAAAGATGTTCTTGCTGGAAACTTAAGCCAAGGTGATAACGCTCCTAAGTTTACCCAATCTGTTGTTAATGGAGTCCCGACTGTGCTTATTTCGGATGAAGATGTTCTTAAATTAGCTTCACCTTTTCAATTTACTTTGGTTGGAAAATTTGCTCTGCGTAGACCTAATCTGGAATCTGTGCGATCTTTTTTTACAAATCTCAAGCTTTCGGGTTTTTATTCCGTAGGTTTGTTAGATTCTAAACATGTTGCGATTCAGTTGTCTAACGATTTGGATTACAGTAGAGTCTTTGCTAGGAGATCATATTTTATAAACAACTGTAAGATGCGTGTTTTAAAATGGACTCCGTTTTTTGATGTGCATGAAGAATCGCCTATAGTTCCGATCTGGATTTCGTTCCCTAATTTGCGTTTGCATTTTTTTAACCCTCAAGTCTTGCATGCTATTGGTTCTGTTTTTGGAAGGCCGCTGCAAACCGACCAGGCGACGGCCTCCAGGACTCGTCAGTCAGTAGCTCGGGTTCTTGTGGAAGTGGACATTTCTAAGAAGCATCCTAAAGAGGTTTGGGTCGGGTCAAAGGCTTTTGGGTATTTGCAAAAGGTTGAGTTCGAAAAGGTTTCTGAATTTTGTTCTCACTGTAAGATACATGGTCATGCGATGTCTGACTGTTTTAGATTACATCCTGAACTTAAAAAAAAGAGTTCAATTCAGGTTAACGATAAAGCGGACTCACCTATTAATGTTTCTGATTCTGATAATGAGTTGGAAAAAGATGTTTCTAATGCAGGAGGTGATATTGTAGAGGAAATTGTGGCAGCATCTGAAAATGAGTTGGAAAAAGAAGTTTCAAAGGCTGAGGGTGAGACGATGAAGGAAACGGTGGCAGATTTTAATGTGCCAGGTAACAATATAGTTTCGGAGGCTGGAAGGGCTGAAAATAATGTTGGTAATGTCCTTGAAAAATCCCCTGATTTATTTATTTCTATTGAATCTATGTTATAAAATACTAATCATGATCATTTAGTTCCCCCGGCTGCTACCTTAGTTCCTCCGGTTGCTACTGAGTCTCTAGATTTTGAGGCTGAATACAGAGAAAATGGTGAAGAAGGGGAAATTTTACCTTCTAATGTTAAGAAAGGCAAAGCTTTACAAAATGAAGCGGGAAAAGCTAAAGGGTACAAAAACTCGGAAGATTGTTCTTCTTTGCATAACTTGGGGGAAGAAAATTTTACTAAAGTTACCAAGAAAAAAGGTAAGAAGGCTAAGGAACCTTCTTCTTATTTGCAGGTTCTTAATAAATCCCAAACTAAATCTAATAGTTCTAATGGTTAAGTCCCTTGTTTGGAACATCAGAGGCATTGGTGGGAATGACTCTATTAATAGAGTTAGAAATATTTGCAGGATTCACAATATTCAACTTCTGATTATTATTGAACCTTTAATTTGCATGACTAAGCTTGATAAAACTGCTTCTAAATTAGGCTTTACTAACAAGTTTGCTAATTGCTCCAATAAGATTTGGATTTTTTGGAACAATGTCATTACTATTACTATTCTGAATGATTTTACTCAAGTTGTTCATGTTTCTATTTCTATGTTTAATTTCGAGTGTAAGGCTTCCTTTATTTATGCTGCTTGTACGAGAGTTGGTCGTTTGAACTTGTGGAATCAATTAAAGGATTTTGCTGCTAACAGTTCTGGCCCGTGGTGTGTTGGTGAGGACTTCAATATTATTTCTAATTATATATATATATATATGCATTGCATTCTAAATCCAAAATTACTGAATAATAGAGCCTTTAATGTCGCGGCGACAACATCTGGCACTGCTATGCTCATAAGCACAGGGAGACAACATTTACAAGCTCATTGTCGTAGTGCTCTAGTTCAAATAGAGATTTAAATTTTTATTCTAAGTTTATTTTCAAAAAACCGGGTTTTCACTATTTACCCACCTTAGAAAAATATTATCTATGATATTTTCTTAAGAATTTGGACATAAAACCAGTACAAAATAAATCATTATGAAAGAAATTAAATTTGCATAACAAAACAAAATTGAATCAAAATTAAATTAAAAGCTTGTTGAAGGATACATATTAAACTAGTAATCATTTTCTTTTACAGTCATACGCACTACAGGAAACTCGTTATTACCGGCGGATATAATAGGCGGGTAAAGTTAAAATTTTGACGAAAAAATGACATTTCTGTCGCATTTCAGTCATATTTTTATACGACAGTAATTTGCGCATTGGAAAAAACCTTCCGACGTATATACT